GCCACCGTGCTTGTTCTGGGGGTCCTCCCACTCGGGGCGGACTCCAGCCTTGAAAAGGTGGTAGTCGGACTTGAGGGAGAGCTCGGAAACGGGGGCAACATTGTTCTAGAATTCGAGTTTAGCGCGCGGTCGTGATAAGATAGAGTTTTTTTTTACTCACGTAAACACCCCAGAACTCCTCAACCGAATCGAAGGTGATAACTTCTTTTAGGAGGTCGTTCCAGTTGTCGCCCTATCACTGCTGTTAGTGCCCAAATTTGGCAATTTGATAGTGATATTCCGTACCTTTCCACTCGGGGGCTTGGTGAACCAAAGAGTCCACTTGTTCTGAAGAGGGTGCTTCACATTGAAGTTGTCTTTGTCGTGGAAGACAGTGACGGGCTTGTCGTCCTTGTCGTCCTTGATGTCGGAGGAATCCTCCTTGCCGGCAGGATCGACGGGAATGGTGGTGAGGTCGACCTGCTCGTCCATCTTGGGGGTTTCTGCGACGGCGGTAGCCATTGTGTCGGATGCTTCTCGCGGAATCGTAGTTGCGAATGAAGGTTTCGCGGATGAGAGATCGCGGGGCAGGTTTGGGATGATAGCGGAGGCAAAAAGAAGTGGAAGCAAGCGGTGGGAGTGGGGCAAGCAAAGACGAAAATACGTCGTTCAAGCAAGTCCTTCCGTTTGGAAAAAAATATCGCTTGCAAAGTTGCGCCAGGCAAACGATGCAAAAATGGAGCAAGAGCGATAGAGGTGACGTTTGTTGTAAGGAGCAAAAGGCACCTGTTTGAGGTTTGGTTTGTGTCGCGAGGCGCAAGGTCAAAAATTCTTAGGTGCTGACCTAAAGTGGTGCAGGCGGCTGTCCCTTACTTTCCAAACCGGGTAATATTTGTGCCTTGCTGTGCCTGGCTGCAGCCTTGGATATGAGGCCGCGCATTTATCATCCTGACTTTGCTTCTCTGAAACGTCTCAGTCAAGCGGTTCTCTTTCTGAACTCGTAGTTGACCGAGTATTCGCATTGACACGACATGGGTCAGCGGCAGGTATTAACTGAAGCTGGAGGTGTAAATTGAATCCTCGCTTGTTTCAACATGGGCTTCACGTGCCAAGAAATATCCGTCTTTGTGTCTAATTCCGATCCATGCGCCTGGGATCAGAACTACTGCCAAGTTCCGTTCCTTTGATATCAAGTCTTGAGCAACTGACACAAGGAGTTATTTCTGTCCAAGACTAAGAAAAGGGTCGGAAGCTCACGGGGTCTTCTTTTCCCAACTCGCTCTCTTATTAGTCAATGTTTCAAAGGCACTTGCAAATACAAGAAACATATCCACAAATAGAGTTGACAAACCTGACAATTAACTAGCGTCCAAGTCAGGCCTCGACAGCTCAAAATTCAATGCAACTTTACTGCGTATATATGACGCAGCACTGCCAGTCACGCGGATATCTGATGAGAGAAAGATGCACGGATTTGCTCTTGAAAGTGAGCCCATCTCAGGATTTGAAGGCACAAAATGCCAAGATGCTGTGCCCATTTGAGTCTCGAACACGGTAATGTGCTGTCATATAACTAACTACCTGTATGTCTTCAAATTGTTACTACAACTTGGTGATGCCCCATTCATGCCTCCACCTCAAAGCAACCCAACGCACGTTTCTGTGTCCATGAGTCGTTTGTTCATGCCTCACACCATTTCTCATTCAGGCTGGAATCTAGACATTATACCCTGGTCCGGTGAGCTGAACGCCAACAGATAAATATCGCACCCAAGCTAGAACACCAGGGACAAAGGAAAGACACAGTCAGATACAACCAGTAAAGGCCATCTCACACAATTCCATTCGCCCATAGATGCCCTCTCCTGGCCAACTTGTGCCAACTCAAGCAATGATGCGTCACTTCTCCCTTAACAAGGCGTTCAAGACGCCAATAATATCACAAGTCTACAATTAAGCCTCAAAAGTCACCCCCCTCGAACCACGTTCGCCATTCACAAACGGCCTTGGCCTACACGGGGCGGCATCTCCATTTAGCTTTGCTAATGTTTATTGGCCTTTGTAAATATCTCTTGTCCCACAAAAAGAATGACAACTGGTGCACACCCGCTTCATTATGTATTCTGCACCATATTGACCCCAATGATCGTCAATGTTCAACGCTAGGCTCTTATGCAGGAGCTCAGGCACTGGCTATTCGCTCTGGAATGCAAACGCGTCTCACAAGCTCGATTCCATCCCACCTTCGCAACCCCTCGGGTCCCTGGAGTCGATGCGAGCCCCTCATGAGCTGTCATCTGAGACTGCGTGATCAATTCTAGGCTGACCAGGTTTGGCAAGCCGGGCCGTTTCGTTTATGTCAACTTTCTACCCATATAGACCAACTTATAATAGACCCGATTCCCAGCCAGACAAAGACGGTTTTCCTCACCAACACACCATCTTAACTACCTCTTTGTTCTCTCCTCTAACTATCTAAAGCTCCCTTTATTACCCGTACCAAATTACCTTGACATCATGGAGCCCGAGACTAGAGCCACTTCCTTTGAGAAGGATGCCTACAAGACAAAGGACAAAGCCCCCAAGGGCAAGACTCGAAGCAACTCCCTCTTCACAATTAGCTCAGGCTTCACCTTTTTTGCTGCCCTTCCCGGTGTATCTGGGTCTTCTTCTTTCAGGTCGTCTTCTTTCCGATAAATACCCAACGCCAGCTCCTGTTTGATTCTCACAGTCATTCGTTCATACCAAGCTATTTTATACCATTGTTTACTTACACCCACCATCTGCTGGATCAGTCATCTCTTTCATTCTTTTATTACGATATCTTGCTTGACGCAACACATTTTCTTTTCCGTGTCCTACCGTCCACCCCAAAATGAAGGAATTTCGGTCATTTAATCCTAGCCGCCGGGGCCTCAACTTTACGAAACTCGATCGAGACTATGCAGATGAGTTTTACGAGAAGCATTTCAACGGGCTTCATGTCGAAATCTTTGCCCTCGTTCAAGCAGCATTCTGTCCCGAAAGCAGTTCCAGAACAACTCCCAAGGCACCCTTGACATCCCCTTGGTTGAGGGAGTACCCGGAGGAATTCATCAAATACGTCGAGCTTGTGGCTTACCCGGATGCGCGTGCAGGGAAGTGGGAGAGACTTCTTCGCGATGGCGCCGAAAGAAGCAACCTCCTCCAGGCCATTATCATCAGGGTCATGTATACAAAGGTCTTTTCGCAGCTGCTCTTTGGAGCTAGTCCTAAGCATTGTGAGACGTTGAAGCAGTCCGATACGGCACTCATCAATGCAGAAGGTGTGTAATGTGGTACAACATAAGAGTAACACCATGCTGACATTGCCATAGGATTCGAACGCAGCAAACTCCGGGCACACACCACGAGAACCTGGCTTCATGTAACCGGTGGAGAACCTACTCGTTTCTGGGGAGAGGTTGACAAGTTGTGTACTCAGACACTGGCCTTGCTGCTTCCTGTTTATGACTACACCTCTGAATTTACTGGCTACAGCCCCATTCCCATGGCAGAACTGTATCAAATGCTGCACGATGTGATTGCTTACGCTGGGTGGCTCAGTGTATGCATCCGCATGTCTCCAGCCATCGTCTCGATCAACTGGCTCAAGCCTGCGGACCGATACGCTATGGGTCAAACCAACACATGTCAGTCAGCATACGAATTCTCGAAAGAAGCAGCCCGCCAACATCAGATGCGAGCTAGGCAGCGAAGACTCAAAGGTGATCATATGCTGTCGGCACCCAGAATTAAGATTTCGGTTGCGCCAGCAATCATTCGTCACAAGATCCTTCCAAAGGTTCTGCAAACCCAAGGTGTTACGTCTTACACGATAATGAAGCCCCAGGTGGTGTACTACGAGGGACTGCAGCTCGATCAAGACGAGTGGAGGGTATATATTAGTCTTCCAGACTACATCAAGAAACTGCGGGATCAGAACTGCGTGCCACGTTATGCTGCGCTGGTGATCATGCTATTCGTTTTGCTTGCACTTTGGGTTCACTTTACTGCCTCAGGGCAACAAATTTGGCAGGGCATCCACGAAATGGTACGATCAGTGCCAAACTTGGAGTACTTGTCAAAGCTCATCAACCCTCAACGGAACATGGTACAATATTCGTGATGAGTTTGAGATCATTGTGTTTTCTGGTATATTTGGGTAGCATATTCGGGGATATGGGTTCTGGAGTTTAGCAACGAGGGTTTTAGTGTGCTTTTGCAAGTTTTAATATATATCATATTGTTTGATTGCTCGAGATTAACAATTATGATGTTTCAAACTGCGCCATCCGGTTTCAATAAATTAAATTCCTAATTTGCTCATATGTTCTTTCAAATCGAGGTTACGACCAGCATCGGATCATTCAAACAATTACAAAAACAAAAAAACAGTATGGTAGGTTAGCAAATTCGATCACCTTTTCCAGTACATTTTGTGCAACTATTCTGATTAGCCTTTATTGAATTTTATTAATCTCTCATTAAATCATTCTAAACTTATATAATTCTAATAAATTCTGCTAAATTGAAGTGGAGTTTACTAAATTCATCCTAAAAATCTTCTAACAGGTACCGAATATCTTATTTTTAACGAAAATTTTGTGGTACTGGATAATCTGTAGGGTATGCTGTCTGCGGTCGGTAACTGCTGGAGAGTAAGGAGAGCCAACTCATCACAAAACCGATGAATAACTGCATAACGCAGAAGCGGCCTCGGTTGGAAATCGATGAGGGATTTATCATATCAACGAGGGTTCGTCCAGGGATTGCATGCATCCTCATGGTTGAATGATCCCACACGATTCTTCTAATCTTATCTGATCATTAAGATCAGCCCCACCCACCCCCACCCAGCCGTTTCTAAGCTGTTGCAACTTGCATAAAGCGCTATCACCACCACACACACCACTACCACCACATCACAACAAGAAGACATCTAAACAACGCAAAATAATGACGAAATGTAAAAAAAGAAGCTGATGGGCACTGGGAGAATGTGCTCCCGCCAGGGCTTGAACCTGAGACCTTCGCATGTTACTGGACACTCGGTATGAAGTATTAGTACGACGCTCTAACCAACTGAGCTACGGAAGCCGACCAGCTGTAATGGGTGTGGTGATCCATTGTTGATTCACCGACCCGGTGTTTTTCTCTATGGACCATAGTCAAACTAGCTACCCTGTAACCGTGGTTACAAATGATAGAAAAGAATGCTGGGAATTGAAGTCATGTCGTGAGGAGGTTGTGTTTTTATGGGTGGGATTGCTTTGGATGGATTGCTACTTCTTATAGCTTCTAATGGAGTTGCAATGCATTAGCCTGGACATAATGTCAGACATTGTGTACACTATCATGACTCGTGTATAATTGGTACTTGGTAAGAGAGAGGATCATCAAACATGCCATGTCGAGCTGTCGACTGCATATTCACTAGAGACCCATCGAGGTAACTAACTCATACGTGGACGTACTATTGCGACAAGGGAATTCCTAATGGTGAGCCCAATAAATATCATCGATATTTGCAGATTTTTGGCAGAACTTATGATTGACATGCGATTAGTCACTATTTGGCCAGAGCTGAGTCTTTGGCGGATAGGAACTATCAATACTTCATACAAGATTAAGGATGTTCGCAGATAAAGATTTTCCTAAGACTAAGGGTCTAAGCTAAGGAAACATAAGAGCATGCTGGCCCAAATATGAACCAATTATATGTAGAAGAGACTGAATATCTCGCTTTCTATTCTAGGAGTAAAAGATGCAGGCCACGGAGTAGATGGCGACGATGATGATGAACAGAGATACCATAGTGTAACGAGACTCGAAAACGCCGAGACATTTCCAACCACCAAATCGACTGGGATACATCGGCATCGTGATGAAACAAGGGAATTAGATAACCGGAGAATACGAGAAATCCACGAGGGACCTTGCAGAGACAACAACGAGTCCATCAATCAAGTGCTTCTGGCGGGTAACGACATGCAGTAACTGCCGTGTGGCTTTGGTCGAGGGTGGTTGGGCAAAGTGCCAGCCCAACAGCTTTGTGTAGACTACGAAGTACGTTGTGCTACATGATACTTTTCCAGGACCTGGCAATTGCCTGGCAATGAGTATATTTCCCTAATTGAGTATGTTTGGAGCATGGATTTATTTACAATGCATGCCGTTGAAAATCTCTATATCGTGCTCGAGTTGTAAAGCAGTGTGTAGACCGGACAAAGTTTAGTCGGGCCATCCCGCCCGCCCGGACGCCAACGATTGACGCACTTTATGGAATCAAACTTATTCGGGAGCTACTGATGTATGACTTCATCATTTTAATGAGTGAGATTCTACTCCGTACGGATATTGACAAAGAACATGCTTGTTTTGAGGTTGCTAGATGTGTATAATGCGTGTCTATTAACGAGACTAATTGTGTACTCCGTACACAAGCACAATACCTACTAACCCAATGGCTCCTCCGTTCTTCGCATCCTCCGTCTTGTGTCTTGCCCCGGGCCCGTCCCGCGTCTCCGTAGCCAGCCACCCGCCTTTTTGGGTCTTCGGAAGTGCTTCAAGAGTGAGACACGGTGACACCCCGCCCCCAGCCATCCCCAACCTCAAATCGACAAGGCAAAATGGCGACTAGCACGATATATCAAGTTTTTCATCCTTGCTAGCTGCTTCAATCACTCCTTTTCTTGCTTTTCTGATGCGACTTTGCTCGGCGCAAAAGTGTATTATAAGGATTTATCGACGCCGAAGCTTACCTCAAAGACAGCCGAGCCATGATGGATTACCTCGAGGCTGGGAAAGATGCTGAGCATGGGGAAGCTCCCAGGGTGTAAATAGCTCCTGAATGAGTTTAGACAGCGCAATCCCTGTACCGAGTACTCCGTACGGTTAACGTCGCGACGATTTGGGCTTGAAGGCAGCGCAGAGTACGGAGCAGGGCAGGGCAATTCCTGGTTCTGCTATCGTCCGTATTGACCCATGGAAGCCTCGATATCCTTTCCTTTCCTTCTTCAACTACTCCGTACCTCAATAGTTTTCTCCCTCCATGATCTGGTACCTGCGGCCTGCAAGAACAATCCTTTTCCACTTGTTCTCTCTTCACCTCCATTAAAACGTTGCCAAATTCTGCACAGCATTAGCTAGCCCAGCAGCTCATGAGCCCTAGACCAGACTCAGCGCCCCGCTACTAGCGCCTGAACAGCCCAGAAAGCAACAGGCAAGCTTTATTCGCCTCGAAGCCCAAGCAAGCAAGCAAGCAAGCAAGCAAGCAAGCAAGCAAGCAAGCAAAGCGAAGCAAAGCACGGTCTCCAGCTCCCAATCTTTTACCCGCCTCCGGCTCAACGCAACGCACGATTTAACGCCCGACATCCATCTTTTTTTGTCTCTTTTTTCCCCGCCTCTAACCAATCACACCGCCCATTCATCCAACTGTCAGCCTCAAATGTCTACGCCATACTGGGGCCAATTGCCCGGGCCCAAGGTCGCCCAGGTCGGCCATGCGGGCCATACCCGCCGCAGGTCTGAGTCGGACGACGCCTATAATGCTGACCGTAGATCTTCGTTCGACGCCGCCCCAGTTCGCAGATCGAATCGTGGTTCTTTACAAACTCAGGCCACTGAAGCTCCTTCTGAATCTACCTTTAGTCCTTATGATTCTCCTACCACTTCTAATTTTGCTCCTCAAGGTCTAGCTCCTAGACCATCTTCCTACAGACGTGATATTCCTGTTGGAGAGTCTTCTAGATCCCGTCACCAGAGCCAACAGCAAGCAGAGTACGACGACGAACCATTGTCACCTCTTCCAGCTGCTCCAGAAGTTCCACGCGGTCCTCCTGTGAGCTATCGCCACCCACACGGTAACGGCGGTCCTCACACCTACACCGCCCCCGATTCCTCTGCTCCTCGCGATCTTCACCCACAAGACGACGATATGGAGGACGACTACTACCAAAGGTCCTCTGACAGGACTGGAGGTCAGAGACCTAACCAAGGCCAAGAAGATTTCTCAAGACGAGACTCGAGCGCCGGCGCATTCGATCAATTGCCTAGGAGAGGGACAACAGGCGGGTCATCAGACCGTCGCAAACCGTTCGCAAACGACCGATCACCCCTTCAAAGGCTTGAGCTGACGCTCGATAGCATGACCAAGGAGGAAAAACGCGCCCGAGTCGAAGCCGCAGAAAAGCGCGCCCGAGAGAGACAGGCATTGAAGGCTGGAAAGCAACCTGCAGGCCAGCAAGTGCGGTCCCATGAACGAAAACCATCAGCCGCATACGGTGATAGGCGTTCATCAGCAGGTGGTGCTTTCTTTACAGCTCCTCAGCCTTTGTCGCACAAAGATGTAGCCGGCGATTACAGCAGAGAAGCACCCAGAGACACACCCAGAGACGCACCTAGGGAAGCGCCCCGAGACACCCAAAGAGACATATACCACGATGTCCCACAAGATACCTATCCAGAGATCCCACAGAATGAGCGAGTAGAATCGCCCATCTCAGTATACCGAGAGCTGCCTCCGCAAGTCACTGTGCAAAGAGGAGGGTCGCATCGTCGCCGTAGTTCTGTCGCGCACCATCCAGAAGACGACAGACACTACGTTTCAGGCGCACTACAGCAAGAGGAAGTCGAGCCTACACCTAGGCGCATGGATCCTCAAACTGCCATTCCTAGATACGCCGAACAAGACTCTGGCATTCCTAAGCGTAATCTGAGCTTCCGCGAAAGAGCGACTCGAGATAACGTACAGCTTCCCGAACAAAATGCGCCAAGACCACAGGCCCAGCCGCCTACCCAGAGCGGAGGATTCTCTTTGACCAGAAGTGGCAGCAACAAACTGAAGAAACCTCCTCCAGCAGATCTGAGCTACCCCCGTAGGGTGGTATCCGAAAGACAGCCTGCTCCGATGGCCCCAGCGCTAAAACAACAGCAACAGTATGATAACGATGATTATTACTATGACGATCAAGATGACCTGCTTCCCGCTCGGCAAAACACACAACAGAATACCAGACAGATTACCCAAGAACTCAATGACCGTTTCACCCGCGAAAAAGAGCTTCCTCCTAACCCCCCACAATCTGATGAAGCACGGAGACCGTCAGTCGACTTCATACCTGGACGCCACCAGATGCCCATGCCTGGTGACAACCAAGGTATCAAGAGGCGCGTCACTGAGCCTGTGCCAAGGGTTCAATATGCAGATGAGGATGAATTCATCCCTCCCCCCAATCGTGGCCAGTCCATTGGTACTAGGCTCCTTGGTAGAAGGGAACCTGACAATGGAGTCCATGCCCAGAATCAGGCTGCTGTTCGCAGGAAAGCTGGTAGATCAGAAAGTTTCTCTTCTGACAGCTCTGACGGTCATCACATCTCCAACATGGTTTTCAAGCGCCCTGAAGACATGGTACCTGGCGATGGTCTGTACCAGCCACCTCAATGGCTAGACGAGTGGAAGAAGGGAACTGTTGGCACATTGTCCGGAAACTTCTTGGATCTTCAGGAAGCCCAATTCTCTGAACCAGATGGCCAAAAGGCTTGGTGGGAGCAAGATAAGACAAAGGCCTACTCTGCGCGGCCACGAAAGGCTGAGGCTTTTGATGGCGAGTACAATGAGCAGTGTAAGTTTAACCACACCTTTCGGATGATTGAAGCGTAACTGACAAAGTCCAGCCCCTACTCGCTTCAAGCCTGCGCTGTTTATGAAGTGCGGTCCGCTTTTGAGATATTGCGGAATTAAACGTGAGAAGGTCCCTAGTAGAACAGCAACTGGTGCTTTGGTCGAGCGAGAGATGTGGCGAGGCAGCATCATGATTGTCACCCAAGATTCCGACTCTTCGTATGACATCGCGCCCACACTGCGACTATTTGTCCAAGGCCTCGACCTGCTACCCCCTCCACCTCATCGTATCAAGGGTGATTTATCCCCCGAATACATCGATCCTATTGCTGGTCATCCCAAGGTGGGACGCCGAGGAGAAACCCTTTACGTCCGCCCTGTGGATCAGCTAGATGAGGAGAAGGATCTCTCCCGCGATGAGACCGATCATGGACTTTTCGAGCAGACTCGCAGCGCTCTTGATCACTCCGGCCCT